GGCTTTATGCTGTACATTGGGAAAGCAGGGATAAATGTAGAAAACAACTACCCGCCCGACACTTCATGTCCTGGGCATCAGGAGATAGGAATCCCACACCCCTGCCGCCCCTCTGCTCCCTGCTGCCCTTGGTTGGCCTTGTGGGAAATCCGGCACAAATAACAAAACCAGCTTTTGCTGCAATTTTACCTTCAATCCAGATGAATACCACAGTACTTTTTCTGCCACTTGATGTCCTCAGTCTGATGGCTAGTATCAATTAAATAACCCACTTCCTCTAAGCCCAAGTTGCCCTGGACCTCCCACCCCCACTCTGTCACTGGAACATGAAAGGAGAGCTCATCTCTCTGTCACTCTGCTTTCTCTTCCTATCAGCATGCGTCTTGTCTGCACATGAACTGTTTGGCTCCTGGCGCTGCTTCCTTCTCTCACACTACAGCCCTGCTTTACAGGTATGGGAAAAGCCTTAAAGTCAAATTCAGATACCTACACTGCTTGCAGTTATAAAATACATTTAATGACATAGTAATGATTACAGAGCTCCATTAATATATCTGCCTAGGGTTAATCTTCACTTTCCCAGGCCCTATCCTCTACAAGGCACATATACTGGCTCACTGCAGCATTGGCTGCACATAAAATATTTGAATTAAATTTGGCCATGGCATAGTTTCAGATATTTATTGGGGTGATGTCATACAATTTATACACAGGGATAAATTCCCACAACTCTTCATATGGACTTACCATTCTCACCCATGCTTCTGTGCTCAGAGGGGTAATGCCTATACATTGAGCTGATGCAACTGAGCAGTAAGACATACAGTGCTGCAAGTAAAACTGCTCCTCTGCTGTTGTCCTTACACTCAAACATGAAAAGACTTTACCTTAGTAACCAGCATTGGTCCAATTGCATTGGTTTTATACATTTCCATCATGTCTTCTGCTGTGGCTTCATGCAGCAAGTGAAATAAGGCAATTCCTGCATTGTTTATCTGCAAATTCAATCCCCGTCCATTCAGTCTTTCTGTAATATCTCTGCACACTGATTCAATGCTTGTTGGATTGGTTACATCTATCAATAGAAAAACAAATCTAAATCCTGGATGCATTTATGGTTTTCGGTCACATTCACCGCAGATCTGAGGCATCCGTTTTTGCAACAGATGTCAATGGAAGGGAACCCGAAAATGTATGGGTGTTAATAAGACCAGTTCACACCACTGCGCTGTGTTGCAGTGCACTGAAAATAAAGTAGAGAATGCTTGCAGCACAACACAACATGTGAAAAATGCAATTAAAGCAAAAAAGAAGGCAGAGAAGTTTTTCCAAAAAACCCGCAATGCAACAGATGTCAACGTAGCATGAAATTACGTTTTTAGGTCTGATTTTGGTGTGCATGGATCCTTAAGTGGGTGATGCGTGCTGATCTGGCATTATCAGGTGCTTTCTTTTTTATATTAATATTAAAGATATATATGGTGCCATTTCCCCCATTTTGATAAAGTCAAATCGACGAGTCTTTGCCTCCTACAGCTGAGAATCTTTTCGTTACATGTGGTTTTATCTCTACGATCTCGTAAGTGTTTTCTTGGTCGTGGAAAAAGATTTTTTTTTTACTGCACTTAGGCACTCTCCCCCTTTTCTCCACACCTTTTTCCTTTGAGACATCATAGGGGCAACCGCCGTTGACATGGCGTGGTGTGATCTGACTGAACAGGAAGGGGGAAGTTGTACACGGCTAGCCCATCCATGTGGGACTGAAGAGGCGACCGACCAGTAAAATAACAGATCGCTGTTTTGATTATCATCGTTGCTCAGTATGATCATAGACTGAACAGTTTTTTTGGACATATCAATGCCTTCTAAGAAAGGAAAGTAAATCCATTTTTTTTTTCTCTTCCTTAGACTTTTTGTTGCGGTTATTTTGGACTTATATATTGGAGCAGAGGGATACTGTTATTGTGTCACCTCAGCTAACCACTTTCTGATGCACTTGTTTATTGTTATACCACTTATATGTTTTACACCAGTATAAGATTTGTAGCATTCCTTGTATTAATTGGAGTGGAAGCACGGATTCGTATTATTGTATCCACATTCGCACACCTTTTGGGGTTAGGACACAGATGGCAAGATTTATATACAATTTGATTCCACATGTGTTTAGTTTTACAATGTAGGACATTATCCATTTGACTTCACTCATGTTCACCTGTTGAGGTGATTTTCATTAGTTTATTTGTTCACATTCAGACTGAGCGCAACATATTAGCAGCACCATTTTCTTATAGGTTGTCCGGCAAAATAAGTTGCAATGTCAAAATAACACATACATAAAAACGCCAGGATAGTGCTGGTAGTTTATACCCCCCGGATCCCAGCCCAATGTAGGGTGAAAGAATAATTTAAAATTTGCGCTTTTAGGAAACCTTTGTGACTTTTTTTTTTTAGCATGTTAAATTTTTATTGAAAGAATTAGGAAGGAATCATTACATAGATCAATCATTATTACGTTTCATGGGTCAGTTTGCAGACTGAGATCTATACACGTAGAGTTTAGTATATTCACGCTCTAAAGAAAAAACAGTAAAGACAATAGAAAAAATTGCGAAGTCAGACCATGACATTGTGACGGATGTTTCCCTGTAGCCCTTAGGGTCGGTACTGTGGTGAGAAGGCCAGTTCGAACTAGTGGGGGTGATCGTGGGCCTATTCGGGGAAATAATCATTCTATAACATGGTAATAACCGTGGTTAAGGGCTGGAAGTCAGGGGTCAAAGGACATCACCTTTGTGACTTTTACATGAAAGCTTGGTGAGCATGAAAATGTGAAGAATGTTCAATGCTTATTATTCTTTTTACAATATTATCATTTCAAAGCCTACCTTTATTTGCAAATGTGTATTGATTTTCTGCTATTTAGCCACAGTCAGCTGATATTATCCACTCAGTTTGAGGGTTTCAATGATTGGGAAACACTCTAATCCTGTCATACAGTGTTTTTAAGGTCAGATGGGCTGTAGTCTCCACCGTCCTCTAAAAAGCGATCTACAGTCAGGGCTGGTGCTGCCACTAGGCAAACTAGGCAGCCGCCTAGAGCCCACTGCTGCCTAGGGAGCAGCCTCGACCACTCACCCCCCCCCCCCACGGTCCCCCCCCTCTATTTCAAATTGTAAAAGCCAATAGCAGGCTGGCTATTGCACCTGCCCACTGAGCAGAGAAGCAGAACTGAGAGACAAGCTCCCCTGCTCAGTTGCTGGTGTTTCAATAGCGAGTTTGCTATTGGCTATTTCAAATTAAAATAGCCAATAGTAGTCTGGCTATTGTCCTGGCTGCTTACATCCATCTATCGCCCGTGGAAGCTAGATGGCAGGAGAATATGGCTGCGTGTGGGGAATTGGGGGATGTGCCACAGGAGGGGGGCTGGGGGGTGCAAGTAGCTGATATTGCCTAGTGCGCAAAATAGTCTAGCACCGGCTCTGTCTACAGTGGATCATTTTTCAGAGGGTGGTGGAGCAGCGGTGTACAGTAGGTGATACTGCCGCCTCCTGAATGCAGGTTTTTGTTGTTTTAATCCCAATGGGATTTTCTATCAAAGTACCGTGCTGCAACCATGTAACCGCGCGTTGCATTGCAGTCCTATTCATTTCAATTGTCGCGGCAGACCGTGGCAGCACCATTTGTCATATGTGACATGCTGTATATTTTTTGCTATGCTGCGGCAATGTATACAGCACTGTGCGGCTGCAGTGCTACCATTACAGTGGGGGGCAGTAAAACCGCATATCTAGTCCACGGTTTTACTGCCCTTTCCCCTCCTGTGTGAAAGAGGCTTAACTGACAGGATCCTCTTGTGTGACAGAATGAAAGGTGTGCAACTTTTCATCCTGCGCAGGCCTATGTTAGTATAATGAGTTCTTACCAAGTCTGACAGTAGAAAGGTTTGAGTGTTTTGAGGACAGAGATTTTAGTTCCTGTTAAAAAATAAAAAATGAACATGAGTAATATAAAGCACATATTATCACAGTGTCATATAGGCTAAAGTCATATGGAATTTATAGCTGCAATCTTATCAGGCAACAGGTTATACTGTGAATAATGTTACTACTAATGTGTGACGGCATCAAAGCATTCCATAGACCTCAGCACACAGATGATGTATTGCTGGTAATGGTTGTAAATATGAGATGCTCTATAGCAGGGGTAGTGAATTCAAAGTCAAGGAGGTCCAGCGAATAAAATTTTAATTGAGCCGAGGTCCGACTCTCGTCCAGACAGAAGTGTCTGTACTGCGGTCCGCCATTTAGGCTGCATTCCCACCAGCTGCTGCACTACACCATACAGCTGCTGGTGTGTGTTCCCACAGTGCACCCGACTCATCACACTATATTTATTTTTATTAGAACCCCCCCTATTTACATACATGTGCATGCCTTACACAAATGTGTTTTTTTACTTGTTTATCACTTTTTCACTTAACTTTTGCTATCACAAAGGGGATAACAAGCCCATATGTGACAGCATTTGGAAGTTTATGGAGACATCAGAGGTCTATTAAACCTCTGATATCTTTCCTGCCCTCCAATACAGATCATCAAGCACAGGAATGTGCTTGATAGTCTGTATACCTGGCACTTCAGTCAGCTTCTGACAACTGAAGTATCGGGAGAATTCTCCCACGGAATCAGAAGACTCAGTTAGCTGAACCAATCAAGGTTTATTGTAACGCATATGCGGAGGTTACAACAGACTTGACATGTGTAGGGACTGTCCCAGGCACCAGTCTGTGTAACTCTGAAAAACCCTTTCCCTCCCGCAGTCTCTTATAGCCCTCGTCTTTGCCCCCAGCTTCTCCCTCTGTCTTGGGTGAAGTTCCTCTTTCGCATCTGGCCCTCACCTCTCGAATTCTTCTTTGACACGTAGGCAAGTCATTGTGGTTTCAGCCTTGAGACACTGAGTCGTCCTGGTTATCTGCTTCGGCCGTTTGTCCTTGGATGTGGGGTTGTTATGTTCTTCTTTCTTGGTTCTTCGTACGTAAGCTTATCAGGCTTCAGCAGCTGTGTCCTGTGTATAGAAACTCAAAGACAGTTTCTAGTTCCAAAACAAGTATATATGAAACCTTTCTTATTGTCATTATTCTACATGTATAACTACTGAAAACAAAGCTACATATTATTATCTATGCTATTATGAAATGAACACTATATATCTAAAAATGAATATATCTATATATATCTTCACAGAAGCAACAAGCGTTAGGAGCGCTTCATGCTTCAGTGATCACAGAGAGGATCAGGGAACTGACGTTCTTGGTCTGCTCCCGTTCTCTATCCTGACACTGCGTGCTGTGGAAAAACACGACGGGGGGTGTGGCATAACAGCAGACTAGTACAACTCCCAATGTACTTCTGAGATGAAAGCCTGCAGATCTCATAGACCTCAGACTGCAGTCACATCTCCACCTCCCTCTCCTTTAGGCCATTCAAAAAATGAAACCTGAGCTGTGTGTTTTGTTACCCCCAGCACTGTTACCCCTATACACCCAGATGTCCCAAGCAGGGGCACAGTCTGCACTCACCAGTCTGCTGGGGCATGAGTGGAACCTCACCTGTGTGCAGTGACAATATTGAGGGGCAGGCCATGGGAGGAGCGTTCATGTAGAATTGCGATAGTAGTAGAGGGAGAGGGTAGAGGATGCCTATCAGAAGACTCGTCGACTTTGCCAACTGCTGAGTATTGTGAAAATGCAGCTGTACAGAGCACCCCCAGTCTTTCTGTTATGTAGTCTAACTCCATCTCGTCGAAATCTCCTGCCGCCAAGTCACTGGAAGTGATGTAAGTGTAACATACTTGCCTTGACTCCGCCCCCTTGCTGACAACGTCACAACTCTGCTCCTTCCTTGCTGATTTAAACCACAAGGTTTACCTGTCCGGTGTTCGTGCAACAAATGCAGATGCTGGAAATAGAGACTCAGCCTCCATGTGCTTAGTCAACATCCCTGCTACTGCTGAACCTCCTCATAACCTGCTACTAACCCTGAGCATTACACCTTCCATACCACCTGTGGATCCTTTGTTCCACCAACTCTTCCCTATTGACTGTATGTGCCTCTCGCCTCATTGCTGGGTTCACCTGCATGCTGCTCCTGATCTCTCCAATTGCCATTAGCAACCACCTGCTGCACAGCCTCCAAGACTTTCAGCTAAGCTACTACTCTGGGATTCATCCAGGATTTCACTATCTGCTCAAGACACTACAAACCCAAGCCTACTGGCTGCAAGTATCACCTTATTCAATACCAAATACAATGAACATTAATTGTTTCACAAAGTGTAAAGTTTTGTTTCACTAAAACTTTCTCTATTCATTGACTTCCTAAAGCAAAGACATTTCAAGCTGCTACAGAGTATTCAGCGAGATTCTACTATAGTTACTTTTTTTTTACTACCGTTCTGCCTTATTGACTGTTCACCCTCATGATAGCTTCAACTGTGCTTAAGTGCCTTCCACAGGCTTGAGGGGAACTTGAGTAAAAATTCCTACTCGTACTCGTGATTGACAGACATCCGTGGCTGTGATCTATAAAACTCATCAGCCCCCGTTCCTCAAGCGTTACAGTAAGTGACACAGTTGGAGATTTCGATGAGTTGGTCTTATCTATAGAACACTGGGAGAAATACAACACCGGGATTCAGTGATCGTGGGACAACTCCCTGAAAATCCTGACTGTCCCGGTGGCCAAGTATACTAGAGACATCTCTGATCAGTAACCCCAGAACAATAAGAACTTCTTCTGAGGAGAGCTGACAATCTCCATGTACCCCGAGGACACCAGAGCAGCAGTGGCGTAACCAGAGTTCTGGGCGCCCGGGCAGAAATTTTTTTTCGCCCCCCCCATTATATAAACAACCACTGGAACTGTACCCTGCACCTCCCCCCCACACACACATGTTTTTATTTTAATTTTTCAAATTTTAATATTTTATTTTTTTTGAAACTTTTTCATTTTTTTAAATCAATTTTTATTTATTAATTAATTTTTTATTAAATATTTTTATTTTTTACTTTACTTTTAGGGGCTTCGGGGAAATATTGGGGGTCTAAACAGACCCCTGATATTTCCCTTTAAAAATAGAAAAAGAGATTGAGGACACAGAGTCCTCAATCTCTTTTTCTGTGTCCCCTGTTATCAATGAACAGGAATCCTTTATGAGTGTTCCTGTTCATTGATAACATGGTATGTTTACTATAACTACAATTATGAATGAACAGGAGGAGATGTAGATCACTCCCATTCATTCATAATTGAGGATATAGTATACATACCAGGTCCTCAATTATGTACAAACACTCAGCGATCACTGATCACTGAGTGCTTGTACCCGTTCTCCTCTCTGACACACACTGTCATAGGAGGCTGCAAGAGGAGAGCCCAGCCTCCTGTGACAGCGCTGGCTGTCTCCGCCCCCACACCGCTCTGCTGCACTGTGATAGGCGGCCGAGCGGTGTGGGAGGAAAGACACCGGCCGCTCACAGCGCTCGTCCCGCAGCGCTCGGCCGGCTGTCATTTTCTCTCTGATTCCTTTCATCCCCGCTGGGCACTGCTCTGTGTCCCAGCGGGGATGAAAGGAATCACGGCCGCGCCGACAAAACGGCAGGAAAATGTCACTTTCGGCATTTAGCCAAAAGTGCAATTTTCGGCCGGCGCCCCCCCTTCACTTTTCGCCCGCCGATTCCCCGACTGGATCCATTCACAAGAACACTGCGGATGATGAGATTCGTCATCTTCCAGACTTCTGCGTCTTTGCTCTGAACAGTGTGAAATGGACAGGACTTTATATTCTAGTTATATTAACAAGTGTTCATATAAAAACAACACAGAAAACACCTGTAAGGCTTCAAGTCATAATAATCCTTCATTTTTGTTGTTCATTTTATAATAAAGAGGTTCACACTTACCTGAGTCCCCCCCCTGTTGCAGGTGTCTCCTTAAGCTAGCCGGCTGCTGAGGAGACACCCAAGCGTGTCACCTCACCACACCCCTCATCTCCTCCCAACAGATTGACTGCCAACTGACAACTAACCAGGAAGTTTGTTAGACCACAGACCTGGCGGAGGTGACAAAGGAATGAAGGTAAGTGTGGAGGGGACAGGGCAACTTGGAAAGTTGCTGGTCGTATTTTTACCTTAATGAAGAGAATGCAAGTTAAAAATGCCCAGCTTTTTTACCACTTTAAAAGAGAACTAAAGCCAAACATTTTCTTTGGCATTAAAGGAGAACTATGACATGAGTGATTTCCACTCACGACATAGTTCTAAGCCGACCTGTGACAATGAGACTGTCACAGGTCGGCTCAGTAGATCGGGAGGTGAGGGAAAACATACCGGGTTCCCTCACTTCTCGATCCTGTCACGGCTCTCTGCTGTGACAGGGGGAGGGGCTGGATTCCCCTCTCCACACTCCGATCTGCCAGCGCTGACTGGCGGAACGGACGGGGGAGGGGGCGGGTACAGCTGGCTCTGCCTCTAGATAGGCAGAGCCAGCTGTCACTCACTCAGCTGGGCGGATCCCGTCATCTAAGTCGGGATCCGCTCCAGGTGCGGGGCCTCAGTATACCGCGAGCTGTAGCTCGCGGTATACTGAGCTTAGGGTGACGGGAGGACGCTAGTTTGTGTCCTCCCGTTACCCCAAGGAGAACTATGTGGAAAAACACTGACCCCATAGTTCTCCTTTAATCCTCTTTTGGGTGACAGGAGTACATTTTACTAATGTACTCCTGTCACCCAAACTCTAGTGGCCTATTGCCCGCTATTAGCTGACAGCAGAGAGCCGTGCTGCAGCCGGGAAAAATTCCAGCTGTGGGATCTCCGACACCACCTGGCGAGTGACCTGTATTTTTCCTCGACTGCGTCACTTTCAGGTTCAAATGTGCATTAAGAAAGGGCATCAGAAAAAAAAAAAGACAAAAAAGAAAAGAAAGGGCATCAGGAAAACCGCTGATTTAGATGACGCGGCCACACCAGAAGTGATGCAGTCCAGAAATGTTATGGGTTGAGAAAATTTAGAACATGCTCATTGAGCCTAGAAACCAGAAGTGACGGGTTCCAGCATTCTTATGAGGTCCAGAAAAATTATAGACCAGCCTTGCAGCCTGTAGTGTGTGGACCAGCCAGGTCCCTCCCATATCTTCTTTCTGCACAGGCTATATGCAGCACAGTGCCTCTGCTACTTTCATAAGGCAATAACGGGTTTATAAAGGCATTTGGTGCACACAAAGTAGATTTATATCCTTTGTGGCAATTGAGGAAGTTTTTGTGCCTGGAGTTCAGACAGTACAATAGTACAAAGATAATCTACAAACTGCAACAAAAGACACTCTGGTATGTTAAGTGTAGGGGCTACTATTGTGACATATTGACAAACGACATACGGAAGTGTTGTGACCTTACAATAGGTGCAGTTTAAAGGAGAACTATGGGGTCAGTGTTTTCCCCCATAGTTCTCCTTGGGGTAACGGGAGGACACAAACTAGCGTCCTCCCGTTACCCTAAGCTCAGTATACCGCGAGCTACAGCTCGCGGTATACTGAGACGCCGCACCTGGAGCGGATCCCGACTTAGATGACGGGATCCGCCCAGCTGCGTGAGTGACAGCTGGCTCTAACTATCTAGAGGCAGAGCCAGCTGTACCCGCCCCCTCCCCCGTCCGTTCCGCCAGTCAGCGCTGGCAGATCGGAGCGGGGAGAGGGGAATCCAGCCCCTCCCCCTGTCACGGCAGAGAGCCGTGACAGGATCGAGAGGTGAGGGAACCCGGTATGTGTTCTCTCACCTCCCGATCCACTGAGCCGACCTGTGACAGTCTCATTGTCACAGGTCGGCTTAGAACTATGAGGTGAGTGGAAATCACTCATGTCATAGTTCTCCTTTAAGA